CATTGTCACTGGTAGCCTCTTGCAACCATGAGGAAAGTTATGGATGCAGTGGATAGCAGTTTGGAGGGAAGGAAAGACCTCAGGACCTCGGGGGTGTCATGAGGCTGCTCATGTGACACCCTCTGCTCTACCAGTGACATGAGAAGAGACATCTTTTTATTGATGGATCCAGTTTGCATTGGGTTCTCCATCACTTGTTCTTCACTGATATAACATGGGAGATGAGTCATTGGTGTGTTCATGATGACCAGATATTGGAGGGCATTTTACTCTTCTGTGTAATCTATAAACCACCACATTAGACGATGCTGGAGATTTCTCTAAGCATGAGGAACCACCAAGAAAGAAGAAAGGGGACGAGAGGAGGGAGCTGAGGTTGTGCCACACAGAAGTGCCACTGTGTAGAGAGCTTCTGGAGCAGTGAGTGAGAGACAGACGAGGGATAGGAATCCTGTGGAATTCGTAGCACAGGTGTGCCCTTTGAAAGCCAGGCTCCTCCTTGCTCCCACTCCTCCACCTCCCTAACTCTCTTCTTTGTGAACCAAATGGTCATCATCTGTCTGGGTGAACTGACTCATGGTGATAGCAGGGAAAATTTGCTCCGCTGCTTAATAAGTGGCAAGAAGCACCTGGGGCTCTTGGATGACTGTCACCAGTGTCTTATCCTTCCTTGGCAATTATCCTACTCTCTATTTTGCCACTTTGTTCAGGACTTTCAAAGGATCTTGCAGATACATTTGGGTGCAATGGGAGGGACGCAAACATGGCAGAGAAATAATGTTCTTCCTGTTTAAATAGTGTTGTTACTTGCTTAAAGTAAGTGTGTCAAGGACAGTAACTGATGCCTTTCTGAACAGGATGGTCTCTAGCCATGGCAGATATTTTTTTGGAGTGCTGATGTAACTATATACAAATTACAGGCATCTTGGATTGGAAATCTCAAAGTGAGGTTGTAATGAAGCTAAAAAACATTAATCTGATTTTTACTTTCTTTTTGGTTGGTAGCAAACTGGAAGAGGAAGCAGAAAAAGAGCTTGGGGACAAATTAGATTTTTTCTTAATAAATTGCAAGTAGGACACTAAAGACCTTTGTTTTTATTTTTTGTTGGAAAGACATCAAAGTGAGATAGAAGCTTTCTGCACTATTGTTGTTTTTTTTTTTAAACAAAAAAGTGCTACAAAGACATGGAGCACACTAGACTTGGGATAAGCCCTGGGGAGTCATTATGTCCAAGTTAGGATAATCAAAAAGAGTTTAATTTACTCAGTTCTGGAATAAAACCAAGCCTGCAGTCAGCAATATTTGAAACCAGTTTAAGGTCAGCAAATGAGATGCCAGTTGTATTTAAATGTTTGTATCTATTTATTCATATTTTTCATTGTACTCTAAATTACATGCCTTCTTTTTTAATTAAGAAAAAGATAATTGTTGAGCCTAATCATTTTAGCATAGTTTTTAATTGTAAAATAAGCATAATAAATGAAAAAAGCACTTTCTAATCTTTTTGATATACTTCTTCATTCTTAGGGGTTCTCAAAGCCAAAGCGAGTGTCTGTTAGTGAATTAGAATAAAACCACAGGGTAATTACTTCTGGGCTACCAATGCAACATGAGTTGCTTTCTGTTGTAAGAATGCTGAAAAGTTGCCATAAAATTAAATCAATTAGAATAATAAGGGGGTAGGAGAAGATTAAATTTGTTTCCATCTGATTTAACTTACTAATTTCTCAGGGGAGACTGAGTTCCCTGCTATTGACCTCCAGGTTTTAACCCATGAGCCCCTTCTATCCTCACAACATACTTGGGACCTAATTCATACCCAAAAGCCTGGGTCTTTTTGGTTGACCCAGAAAGTAGTTTTGAGGACTGGGAGTCAGTGAACAAGTTAGTCAGGGCACAGATTTGTCTGGAGACCCTACCACGTGCCAGGTATGCTCTGCAGTCTGGGGATTCAGTGCGAACAAGTGAACACTCCCGACCTCCAGAAGCTTATGTGCCAATGGGGAAAAACAGATAATAAACATATAAACAAATAAACCAATAAAATAACCAATAAGTTCTGCAAAGATGATAGGACAGGGCAATGTCATGGAAGGCCACTTCCCAGCAGATGGGTCAGCATGGGCAAAGGCCCTGAGGCAGGAACACACTTGGGGTGTTTGAGAATGAGAGAGAAGTCCTGCCAGACGGGGGCTTGGGTGGGAGGAAGACAGCACTATACTCATCTCCTTTTCCTCCACTACTTCCTTCCTCTGGCCTGGCAGCTGAAACCTTCCCAATTTTTCTCTGCCTGGTGAATGGGGAAGCCCACTCTAAACGAAAATGTCCAGGAGGGATTTTTTGAATCTCAGGGCTGGCCCTGCTGTTGGTGCTTGCTAAATGATAAGAAAACTGGTGTCTCTGCCTTGCCAGCACCCCAGGGAATATAGTTTTCCCAGCAGGTTTAAGCCTTGGTTTAACCATAATTACATTGTTAGAGATGGTCAGCTCTGGATAGGTTCTTCCATTTCTGGTTGCAGACAAGGGGATCCACACCAGCTGATGGTCTGTTAAGAGGCACAGATAGCATGGACTAGCTGGGAGGACTGGAGAAAAAGATTCTAGGTGGAGCTTCCAGGAATGACTTCTCAAAGCTCACTGCAGCCTTGGGCCCTGATGCAAGCTTCTGCCCTTGCCATGATCAGAAAGCTGCCTGTGAACCAGGAGCCATGGCCTCTGCTCCAAGCCCGCCTGCCTTGGCTCCAGTCTGCTCCAGTTAAAGGGATATCCCATAGTGGTCCTCTCTTCCTCTATAACTTGATTGCAAATCAGAGTCTTGAATGAGTGTGTATGCTTCATAGGTCCCAACTTGCCTCCCAAACCTTAACCGCTTGAGTGTCTGAGAAGTGTGGTTTTGGAGGGTCTACCCCATGCAGTAGAAGAAAGTCCGTTAGCACCTGGAATGGGTGCTGAGCAAGGCAATTGAATCTGCCACCCTGGCAATTAAGCTGGGCTCACACCATCTGTATTGTGAATATTGGGGCTCATTCCATGACTCTGGCAGCTTTCTCTTTGGCACACAGGGTAGGACAGCTGAGAAACCATAAGTAATTTTCCTTTGCAGATCCAACATTCAGGGGTGTGTCCCCAGAGGTGAGACCTTATCTAGGTTGGGTGGGTCTCACCTGACAGAGAGTTGGAGGTGCTTGGAGGAAAGGCTTATCACAAGAGCTGACGTGGAGACTCCAATCCCCATGGAGAGTGGGCAAGCCATGGTTGTTTTTGCTCATTTTCGCAGCTGCAGTATCAACACAGAGCTTGACATGTGGTAGGCACCCACTAAATATTTATTAAATAAATAAATGAATGGAAAAAAAGAATAGGGCGAGGAGCCCTTTGGCATGAAATACCGGGCAGATTCATTTGAGCCTCTGTGTGTTTAACAAATACTAGTAATGTTTGAAATGTGCCAGGCATTGTTCTAAGTGCTTCACAAATATTAACTCATTTAATTCTTCTAACTACTCTAGTACGGACCACTATTAATCTCATTTTAAAACCAAGGTACAGAGAAGTCATGTTACTTGCCCAAGGTCACAGGGATAAGAAGTGGGGGTACAAGGAGTCCACTGGACTGGGTTGCCCCAAACATCTTGTTGCTATAGAACTTACTGATTTGGCCCTTACAGGCAGTCCCAAATGCCTCCAAGTGATATTATGAAAGTGAATGTGTATAACAAGGTACGGAAGGTTTGCTGTTGTGACTCTACTGAAATCCACCTGTCCTTATTTCCTCTGTTCTTGATGCTGCCTTCCAGCCTCTTCCCGTCCCCTCCAGGCTATGCCTGCTCATATCTCCTTTCCTTGTCCCTCTCCCATCCCCGTGCTGCACTGGGTTTCTGTGGAATTTTGGTTCCCAGATGGGCTCTCAGATGTCTCGCTGAGCCAACCAGGAGGCTATGCCAGCTTGAACAAATCCCAAAACAGCCATGGGATATGGGGTGGTGCCCACTGTCCTCCTGGTTCAATCCAGTGTTGGAGACCTCCGATTGCCCTGACTGTGGCAACGTCCCAGAGCTCTGTGGTTCCTTCTGGAAATGCTGGGGAGTCCACGACAGCAGCACAGAGCATCCTGTCTCCAGAGCATCTACTGTCCACTGGGTCCAGCTGCCAGCCTTTGCCTTGGCTGGTTTATTTTCGGGTAATAGATGCCTGGGAAAGGCAGAGATGGAGTGCTGTCAAAACTCTCCTGGCATGAGATTTGCAAATGCTCTGGAGGGCTGGCTCTTCTCACAGGGGCGGTGTGGATTATTTGCAAAAGCAACAGACTCCACTGGCATTCTCACAGATAACGTGGGGCATGGGGAAAGCATCCTCTTTGCCAGCACAAACAACAGGGTTGGGGGGAGGGAGCGTGTGCCGTTTCCTCAGAGTTCATTCCACCCATCCCCTGCTTCCAAGCAGGTCAGCTGTTTCCAAGCTTAGCTGGACCTCCGGAGGCACCTTCCTTCCACTGAGGCACCTGGCATGGAGAAGCCCTCCTGAGAGCTGACTGCTGGCCTTCCTGTTCTGGGGCCAATGGCTCCGTATTCCATGGAAGTCTAACCCAATGTACTTCAGATATGGGGGAGAAGTCAAGCACACATGGATCTCTGCCCCTGACACAGGACTTCTCAGCCTATGAGGGGATCGAGGTTCTTCGAGCCCAGGTTTGGAAGAGCCCCTCTGCAGACTAGTGGGTTCTGAGCCTGTTAGCCCTTGACCTTCTTTTCTTTGAGTCACAAAACTACATATCCTGCTTCATCCCTTTAGAGCATATTTTTTTCCCCTTGAATTTTTTTTCTCCCTTTGGTGTTTACATGAACTGGTTGAACCCATCACATGGTGAGTCCATGTTTATATTTGCAGAAGCACTGCCCGGGGAAGTTCTGTTTGTATAGAGGTCACCCCATCTCTTGGGCTTGGCTGCAGCCCCATGCTGGGGTTTCAGCAGCAGTAGCTGAGCACAGAGCAGGGCCTCCCCCCTCCCCTTCTCACTGCTCTCTCCGGCCTCAGGTTCCAGGCACTTGGTCCCAATGGCTCCATGCCTGCTGGAAGAGAAGGAGGAAGACTCTTGGGCAGAGTGAGGCCATTTTCTTCCCTCCTCACTCTCAACCCAAACCAGAATTTCCCCAGGACTTCTCTGTCTCCTTTCTTGGAACTTAACTGTCCTCTGTGATCTCAGAAGTAGACTTGGCTGGTGGAGTAGAAGGTACAGTTTAGAGATGGGCTGCTCCAAGACCACTCTCCCTTCTCTGGGCTGACAATGCAGTCAATATTCTAGGGTGGTTGAGACAAACGGATTTTGGAGTCAGACAGAACTGGGCCGGAATCAAGTTTTTTACCAGTTACTGGCTGTGTGACCTTGGACAACACCTTTACAGCTCAGTTTCTTTATCTTAAACGAGTATAATAAGTACTTACCCCTTAAGATAGTTAGGAGAATTAATTTAGGTCATAAATACAAAATGTTTTAAATTATGATGATGGTGATAATAGTAATAGTAACAACAATAACAGCTACCTTAGCGGTTAGAATTGGTGACTTCCCATCCTTGTTTCCTTCATTAGAACAGAGTTTTCCAACCTTTTTTCACTATCATTCCCCTAAAGAGCCTTTTAAGGCAATGATTTTCTTGTCATTTCCCCTCCTCCTCTATGTACTCTGAATCTGTTCATGTACCCTGACCCTTTGGAGGCTATAAATCATGGTAACATTTAAGTTTTTATTTTTATTCCTCCCAAGAAGTAATTTTCATGTTATTACCCCCATAAATACATGTATTAGAGAGAGGCTTTATCATCTAGGAATCATGCTGGTTATTATTAGCTTTTTTTGGTTAGATGGAGAAGCAAGTAAGTCCCAGTGTAGCCACTTTCTGGGGATGGCTGTCCATAGGGGACCAAACTCCTGTCTACAGATAAACCAAACTCCTGTGGCACAATAATGAGCACCTACTGACCAAAAGGGCAGGGCCAGAGCCTTTGCACACTATGGTTTAAATTGTACCTGTTTCCCCCTCACCCACATTTAATGTTTATCTTCGAGGGAGCTCTTTCTAGTAGAGGGGTTCAGAGGATTTATATTCACTTTTGTTTATGGGACTGGAGCTTATTCTTCTACTAGTGACCTTAAGGTGTGGTGATGACCAACATGCTGATATTGACCTCATGGCTTCATCTATAATCCTACATGAGACAGTAAAACACAGGACTGATTTAGGGGCTGAGACTTCCTTGTATGGAAAAGAGGAAATTTCCTGAAGGGGCGTAGCGTTTAGGACACAAAGACTTACAGAAGTGGGTACTCTTGGAATAATCTGAGGGCAGATGGGACAACTTAGGGATGAGGCAAGGCTGCCTCTATTACTGTGTGCAGCAGGCCCTGCGTGCCTCCAGGGGAGCCGCTCCGTAGGCCATTGTGTGGATGGTACTCCCAAGACTTTCCCGGTATGGCAGCCCTGCACAGATGACCTCTTCCTTCTGAAAGTCTACACTTAGATGCTTTCCCTTGGTTGAGAGAGTCCATACTCACAGTTCTCTAGAAGTTTGTCCAGCCCAAATGATCAGCCCCTTTTTGGTTTTCCCTAATTCTTTAACAAAGGAATTTGCATATAACTCCCCTTTGGTGTGTTAGCCTTGTAGTGGCCAAGGAAAAGGAGAGGGGTGTGTTGTCCCATCTGGACTCTTCCTGAGTTCCAGCAGAGAAGGGATAATGACCTCTTGGAAGAGATATGTTTGCAAATATTGGGGTGACCAGAGAGTGGACTCAGGTGAAGCCCATGGCAGATTATCCTGAAAAGACATTTGCACAAATTAACGTTTGATCCTGAGACTCTCTACCCAGGCCAAGCTCTCTTCAGAATGGATGCATTGTTGGGGTTAACTTCTGAGGGACCATCCTCTGCTAAGGGCTTGCTGTATGCCAAGCAGGGTGCTAAGTGCTTAGATTTGTGTTCGTGGCCCACAATATATGTGATGATGATGATATGTATGATTTAGCTTCTAGATTTAAAAATATTCTTCCGAACCAGGTTGGCAATGTTCTGTTCTGTTCCTGTGTAGGTCTGACATCTCATGGAATCTGTGTGAAAGAATTTTCAGTCAGTTCTGCTTCTGCGTGAAAGTGCTCATTAGTTTCTTTCCTGAAATAAAATGTTGCTCATGACGAAGAAGAGCCTGATGTCCAAGAGAGGGAAAAACTGGGAAAAGGAACTGGGGACACAAATGCTTGCATTTTACCAGAGCACAAGTTTTTTAGCTTTTCCTTCAACACCACTCTCAGCTTTTGACCTTTCCCATTCCGAATATTTGAAGGTCTTTGCTCTTTCCCCATTTCTCAGCCATTTTCCCCTTTCCTGAAAATTTCCCTGGAGACCTTCATGCTTGATGTGCTCCCACCCCTGTCTCCCAAGCTCTCTACCTGCTGCATGGTGTCAGACTATACACTAAGGATCAAGGCAGCCCCGATGGAAAGTAATCCTCACTCCAGAGCAGGATGCATCTTGGTGCTGTGTGTGTGTGGGTGGGAGGAGCAATGTCAGTGAGACTGGGAGGGCTCACAGTCTGGTGGTACGAATATGAACATGGAGTCATGCAAAGAGCCCTAGAGCTGGATTACAAACACTGGCTGCAACCTTGGCTCTGGCCTAACCCACCATTACTTTGGGCAGGCCAATTAGGCTAACTGAACCTAAGTGTCTTCATGTGCAGAGGGAGGAATTTTAGAGATGATCTTTGAGGTTTTTTTGCTAGCTGTTGTTGATATGTTAGAACTTTGAAAGAATCACTAATGTCGGCTCCCAACATTGCTGAGTCACACATATCAACCGCTTAAAGCTTGCAACAGCATCTTTCCAAATGAGGACTTCTGCTGCCCTGGGAGCTAGAGATGACAATGGCTTTTGTCTTTCACTTGGGCTTTTATTGTAATGATTCTAAGCTCTTCATGTCCCACTCCTCACTGCCTGCTCGCCCTTGGTTAATAGGGTACAGCTCCACAAGCAGCTGGGTGAGGGGTCTGCGAACTCAGACACTGAAGGCTAAAGCTGAGTCAGGAATAAGTTCTCCATAGAAAGTAGGGGGGAGGCACCAATCATTAATGGCACCGGTTGATTCCCGAAACCTCCAGTGATAACTGCCTAATCATGAACATCTTCTCCATTCTCTTCCCACCCCGGGTGTTTGGGCAACTAACGTTGGAAGAAAAGAACCTTTTTTCTTCCAAACTGTGACCACTCATATTTGCTCTTTTGGGTCCTTTTACATCTTGAGCTTTCCCTGAGCTCTGCGTGGCATGACAAAATGGACCTGAAGCAACTGGTGGGGTGTTCCATGAGGACTCCATAGAGCTGGGGCCCAGCTGGAGGTAGCTGATGTCTCTTTGGAGGCTGGAGAGAGAGGAAGGGTGGGCTTCTCTCTTGGGCTTAGTATGTCCTCCCTGCTCTATGGACCAGAGAAGGGAGTTGAGCAGCAGGATGCATCACCCCTCCAAGCCAAGGTCGGCAGCTTCTCTGCTCTGCCCTGCTCCCCGTCCCCCCCCCCACCTGGACTGTCACCTTTCTGATGGTTATCCCCTCAGCAAAGCAATATCTACTCCACCTAATGACTCCTTTTGTTTAGCTAGCATACTTCTGCTTCAGACTTTACATCTAACCTTTTTCTGGATCTCTGTCTAGAGAATAAGGTAGAGCTAAGTACCAGCAGACACAGGATATGCTAACCCTTGTTAAAAGTTACATTTGCCAACAGATCTCCAATTGCATAGGAAAAGCAATTTTTAAACATTCAGTTTACTGGGGTTACCATTGGTTAACGACATCATATAAGTTTCAGGTGTACAATTGTATAAGACATCATCTGTATATTGCATTATGTACTCACTGCCCAAAGTTGAGTCACCATGTATTTGACTCCTTTTACCCTTTTCACCCTCCCCCACCCACTCTCCCTCTAGTAGCCACCACACTGCTGTCTGTTGCATGAGTTTGTTTTGTTTGTTCATTTGCTGTTAAAGTGATATTATTGAGAGTTCCCCAATGCCACCTATTTGGAACATACTTAGTCTAGAGGAAACGAGGAAGAGGGGCTGGGTATGTTTAGGAGGTGGGAGGGTGTGGTTCTAGGAAATGAAAATGTATGTGAATACATTTTACAGAGGAGAGCAGGGACCAAGAAAAGACTTGTTAAGAACGATCAAACACTAACCCCCTTTGGTAAGAGGAATCACATTTTGTGCATCTCCTGGCACGTGGGAAGGACTGGCCACAGTTCACCCTGAATAGAAACATCCAGGGAACTTAAATCCACTTTGGAGTATAATTATCTTAACAGTCAGCAAAATTTCCCTTACAGCTTCAGTTTTCATTGCTTTTCCGCTTATTTTATTTGGACTGTATTGTATTTGGAAGTACCTTGCAGGAGCTTAAACATGGTAACTCAGGATTGCCTTTAGTCTTCCCTTCCCTGTTGTGAATCACCTTGAACCACTTTAACAGTCAGAGCTCAAGTTGGTCTCCGTCTCCTAATAAAGCTGGATGGGCAGAATGAGGCAACATGGAAAAGTGCTTGTGGTATAATGTTAGGAAAAAGGAGACAAGAAGACATTGCGGAACCCAAGGAAGTGTGAATTGGCTGATATTGTATTTATTTTAAAGGTTATGTAGGGGAAGAAATGGGAAGAAATACACCGCAAGGCTACCCATGATGCAGTTGTGGGTACGTTTTCCCCCTCAATTTCCCTAAGTTTCAAAATGCACCCTTGTGCAAAGTGTATCTGTTGGAGGTGGGATTGGGTTTTATCAGTCATACAGTTGTCATCCGCTCAAGGTCAGTCTTCTGGATTTAGGAAAGCTGGGTGGGAACCAGGCATTTTTCTGAATAGAGGACCTGTGAGAGGTTTTCTGGATTCATACCTGTCTTCTTCACTTCTGATTTTTCTCTGAGCAACCTGAGTGCGCACACACACACACACACACACACACTCCCTTCTACCCCAAGCTACGTGCACAGAGGGCCCTGGAGTGTCTCTGGGAGGAGTTCTGTGCACACACTGTTAAGGCTAACCAGCTTGTCTCAACCCTC